AAAAAAAAAAAAAAAAAAAAAAAAAAAAAAGGCAACTCGGCGCCGCCTACGGTAGCGTTGCATCTCGGTTGGCTTTTGGGAGACGCTGTTTTTGCTGCTCGGTTCGTTCCTCTGGCCCGGTGCCACTTGGCACAGGCTCGTGCCTTGGCCGTGCCAGGAGCTATATCGAGTGAAAATCGGCAGCTTTTCCGAGCGGAGCTATTGTCCCGAGGCCGGCTACGCAACGCTTCCCCGCTCCGACGGGTTCCTCTCCCGACGCCGAGAAAAGAAATTACTCGCCTGGCGCTGCGGTTCGCTCCGTTTTTTATGTTTTCCTGTGTTTATCCGTGTTTAAAACCAACTTTTCTTCTGTATTTAGCTCCTCTGCAGCTGCCGTTGCTGAGGTGGCGCAAACAATTTTGAGAAATCTTGTGTTTGAGAGCCGGGCTCCGTGGCAGGGCCTGTGCTCAGGAGCAGAATTCTGTCAGAAATACGAATAAAAGGGCAGCTTCTCTGCGAGAACAATTTAAACTTATTGGAAACCCCAACAGCATCCGCCAGCCAAAAAAAAATCCCACCTCTTGCACAGGATCTTGCTAAAAAAAAAACAAAAAAACAAAAAAAAACTACCGGAAAAACTCGCAGCCAAGGGAGGTTTTGAGGGCACGGAGGAGCGAGACGCAGGCTGGGCTGTAAGTTCAAAGTCCTTGGTAAATGTTTAACCTCCAGTCGCGCTGTACTTGACTGCAGCGCCTATGTTAATTTTTTTTATTTTTATTTTTTTTTCCCCCGCCCCCCCCTCCAGCTTCTATTTTTAGATGCTCTTGACTTGCGTTACTACAGGTGCCTTATATCACCAAAAAGCCGCTCTTTTTACGCGGCGTGAAGCGCCGTCGGTTTGTGGTTTCGTCGGTAAAGCTGCTGGGATCAGCAGAAGTCCCTCAGCGTTGCGCCTAAACCAGCGAGCGGGGAGCAAACGACCGTCGCGCGAGGGTTTAAATAGGAGCGATTTGGTCGTGAGAAGGCACAAAAAGGGGTTGTTCACTGTTGTCGTGACAGGGACCCATCAGCCTGATGGGTTTTGGGGGTTTTGAAGTAAGTAGGGGTGAGGGAGAAGGCTGCTCTGGGTCGAAGTCCTGGCTGGGCCGGCTCCTATTTCTAATTAATTCTAATTTGTGCGGCCTTAAGTTCAGCCTGGCTGTTTCCTTGCATCCCCAGGAATTTTTGCCACTCCAGTCTCTCCTTTTTGTTGCTTTATTAGTCTTGACTCCTCCTTTTATCCAGCCAGAGGGGGGGAGTCTCTAACTGCTCATCCCTTGGAGGGGATGAGAGGAACCCCCAACAAATCAAGCAGGTTTCCATCCTCCTCGGTGTGTTTTGAGGGGACAAACACACCAGTCTCGCGTTGTGTAGCGGACCCCGTTTTCACTCTCTCAAATCCCTCCCCCAGGTCGTCTGAACTGGTGGGCGAACGTGGACCCCAGCTGCCAGAGGCTGCTCCCCCTGGCCACCACCGGCGACGGCAACTGCCTGCTCCACGCCGCCTCCCTGGGTAAGAGCTCCACTTAACGCCCCCTCCCAAAGCCAAATAACGCACCGGTTCGCTTCAGACCCAGTAACGTGCCCCGTGCTGGTGCCACCTCCCGGGCCCAGCCTTTCCCACCACCGCGGCAGGAGGCGTGCGGGCGGCCGCAGCGCTCGGGCTCTGCGGGGCAGGAAGGGCTGGAAGGAAGGAGGCTGCCAGTAGCTCCCGTACTTCTGAAATCCCTTCTTCCCTTCCATTTGGCAAATTTCCCCGTTTCTGAAGGAAACGTAAAATAACGGCACCACTCCTTCCCTCCTCTTGAAGTGCCGAAAGCCCAGATTTGACTTCGTCTTGTCAAGCGTGACCGGAGCAAATCCTCTGAAGTTTCCAGGCTTTTAAACGAGCAGGGCTGCGCATTTCCTTCGTGTTGGTGCTTCACGCACAACAAAACCACGCTCTCGTTTAACCCAATCTCATTTTCCTATCAGACCTTGACGTGTGTGATTTCTATTTTTTTTTTTTTTTTTTTTTTTTTTTTTTTTTTTTTTTTTTTTTTTTTTTTTGTGAACGAATATTTGTGAGATGCTTCAGAGTTGAAAGCAGAGGTGGCGGCAGCTCCGTTTTAGCCGCGCAGAAACTCACTGCGGGTAGAAAATGTAGGCTTTGAACCCGGAATTGTAACGTTTTGAGGGAGGAGCTTGCGTTTCTCTGCCTCTGTTTCCCCCCCTTGCCCTGGTTTGTGGCAGGTTGTGGGACCTCAGTGACTCAAGGAAGCGATGCTGACCCTCTGCCGCTGTTTCTTTCCCCCGCCCCGTGCAGGTATGTGGGGTTTCCACGACCGAGATCTCATGCTTCGCAAATCCCTTTACACCCTGATGGATAAAGGGGTGGAAAGGGAAGCCCTGAAGCGAAGGTGGCGTTGGCAGCAGACGCAGCAGAACAAGGAGGTAAGGACCAGGCTGAAAACCGTCCTCTCTGCGGCTGGGTCAAATACCCCGTGGCTCTGGGAGATGCTTCTGGTTGTGATAAAGTTTGACTTGACTTTTGGGCAACCCCCCTGGCTTGTGGTACTTGGTTAGACCGTGATGAGATCTAAACTGTGGCAAAATTCCCTTTTATCCCAAGGTAGGAAAAGTCTTTATTAGAAGCGTGTTAATGCCCAATGCTGATGGCAGGGGGGAAAAAATAAAAAAACAAAACAAGTCACCGTCAGGCATTTGGGATCCAGCAGGACGCGATGGCCTTGCTGGGCTCTTCAGAGCGTGGCACAAACTCTGCCTACCAAAAAAAGAAGACTCGTGAACTTGCCACGATAAAGGAGCTTTTTCGAAGCGATGAAACGGGGGGGGGACCCCCCCACCGCAGAAGCGGGGACGTGGCTTTGTCAAGGTGGAACGTTACCGAACGGCCTCACGTGGTGAGAGTCACCCCGCGGCCTTGTGAGCGGGGTGAACTCCCGTTTCCACCTGCTGCCGAGGGATGATGTTTCCTTTTTATTTTTATTATATCCTCCAGCTTCCTTTTTATTTTTAGAAGGGCACGGCAATTCGTATCTTGACGGTTTGGGGGAAAAAAAAAAAAAAAAAAAAAAGCACGTATCGCCCTGTTTGAAGCGGAGTCGTTAATGAATAATCGCAGGGGGTTTTACTGCTATTAAAAGCACGTTTTTAGGCATCTCTCTAAATCCGGAATGAGCTGCCAGCGGAGAGCTTGCGGGTTTTTAGAAGAGTTTGCAACCGCTTGGGGGGGGTGTAGGGTGTGGTGCTGTCGTGCCCTGGTCGTTGGCCTCTGCGTGAGCTGAAGGGCCGGGGGGTCCGGGGAGGGGGGATGCAGGTGATGCAGCAGCCTGGAACTTGAGCGGTTGCCTGGAAGTCGAGGATCCTGAGCTCCTCCCTCCCCAGTAAGCTCCGACAGGAGCAGCCCGGGGTGCTGGATGCCGCTCGGCGTTTCGCAACCCGCTCTGGGGGTGAAATTCTCCTCCCCGCGCTTTGCTTCACGAGCCTTAAATCGACGATGAAAGAATTCGCCTCGACGACGTAAGCGGGGAGCGGAGAAGCTCAGTTAACGCTGCGGGGAGCAGAGCGGGGGCCCTCGGTTCCCTCTTGGTGCGCGGCTTGAAGGTTTTCTTGGCAGCTTGGGGGGTTTAGGATGTTGTGTTTGGATGCTGGAGCTCCGGTTGTGGAGCCGGGGAAAGGAGGAGGAAGAGGAGGGTAAAGCTGCTGCCCTTCCCGTTGCATTTCTCAGCTTATGACCTTAAACGCAGCGGGCTCAAGTGTGACCTTTTGCAGAGTTTTGTGTTTTTTAAGGTATTTCTGCCCTTCCGTGGGGCGGACGTGGCTTCTGGTACCCATCAACCCCGGGGTTGTGCTGGAAGCTGTTGGAGAAGCTTCAGCCTTGGGGAGGAGAGGCGTAACCCTTGAATTTCATCCTCCCCGCAGGCTTTATAAAGTCGGGGGGTCGTACTCAGGGCAGCGTGTTCTGTAGGTGCAGGGGGGTAGGGGGCAGCTTTTTGAGGAGGGGGCTGTGCCCTTGCAGCCACAGAACAGGCAGCTCGCAATCCCCCTGTAAGGGAAGGGGAGGAAGATGTAGCACGGCCGTGGGTTGAAATAGCAAAGCAACTCTTGAATTGAATATTTATAGACCTTACGGTGTCTTCTGTGGGGTGGGTTTCTTTTTTTTCTTGAAGGAAAATCAGTTCTGTATTTTAGCCAGTCCAATGATCTGTCCCACCGTCTCCTGTCGATAGGTTTTGTCATCTTTAAGCCTGGAAGGATTTAGTGTAAGAATAAAGGTTTCCTCTCATTCCGTGGGTTGAAATGTTTACTTCCCCCCTGCTAAAAAGACAAAACTTTTGTTTCGGGCCGATTATCTCCCCAGCTGGCTCGAGAACACAGGGTTTGGTGGGTTTTTTTTTTGCATAACATAGTGTTTATTTTTGCATAAATCCATAGAGGCAAGTTGTGGCTGTGTGTATAAATCTGTGCTGCGGAAACTGGAAAATACTTACTTTTTTTGGGCGGATTTTTCTTTTGCCTTTTCCCAGTCTGGTCTCGTTTACACCGAAGAGGAGTGGCAGAAGGAGTGGAACGAGCTGATCAAGCTGGCGTCCAGCGAGCCGCGCGTGCACTACGGCACCAACGGCGGCGGCTGCGGAGGGTACGTGGAGGGGCAGAACGGAAAAATAATAAAACCGGCTAGATGTGGAAACGGAGCAGCTCTCCCTTTGCTGGAGGGCTCGGGGAGGTTCTCGAGGAGAAAGGACAAGGCTGGGGGTTTGCTGCTCTGGGCCGGAGATTTGGGTTTTTTAAGGGGAAGGGTGAAGGATCGTGAAGAACGACGTGAGCTCCGTAAAGTGTCCCAGGAAGGGGTTTAAATGCCGCACGAGGCTTTTGTTTTGGGGGGGGGTGACGCTGAACAGAAAACTAAACTCTCGTGGTTCATCGTGTTGGTGGCTCTGAAGTGAGAGTAGTAAGCAAAAGCTGAGGATTTCTGCAGCACTCGCTCTGTACTTCAAGGGCGCTTGATCGCCGCGGCCATCCCCAGCAACCGCTGCTTCGGAGGCTCTTTAGAGACACCCAGAAGAGCTGGGCAGCAGCATGGCACTGCCTGCCTACCAACCCTTGTATCTTAAAATCGGCCAGTTTGGGGGGGAACCTCCATCTAAAAATCTCAAATCAGAGCCGAGGTCAAACTTGGAACGCCTTAAATACGACGCGCCTCCACGTGGATGCCTACAAAGGCTTCGTCCTGTGTTTACAAGCGATGGTTAAATACTCAAGGGGTGAAAATGAATTTCTTCCTTGCTGCTTCCAAGTGTTGAAAGCTCCGAAGAGCCGGTCTACGAGAGCCTGGAGGAGTTCCACGTGTTCGTCCTCGCCCACGTCTTGAAGAGACCCATAGTGGTGGTGGCAGACACGATGCTGCGGGACTCGGGGGGAGAAGGTAAGAATTCCCCTTTGTTTCACGAAGTCTTTACGAAGGACGCGCGCTCAGGCTGCGTCATTTCCTCTCTACCACGCGTTTTCCCGGGGTGTTTTTGCTCGGGGAAGCCGGGTTTTGAATCGGAACAGAGCGTGGGGCGCGTTGACCCAGTGCAGGGTGCCGTGGGGGATTCCCACGGAGGGTACGTGCACCACGGTCTGATATTTTGCCATTTCTAAGAGCATCTGCCTGAGGAGGGGGGGGGGGGCTCTTTTTCCCCCTCACGTGATGGGAAATTCCGTTGCCCTGCGTGTCGTATTTTCCACTAGCAGACATAATTTCCTGTCAGAAAAGACGAATCGGTTGCCATCATTCTGTGTGCACAGTTCAAGTTGTCTTGTGGAGGAGTAAAAAGTGGTGGTTTTTTTTTTTTTTATAGAAAATACAAATTCCTTTTGCAACTGTGTTCCTCCCAAGGTAGCACAGATGTCTGTTTTGGTTTGTGGGTTTTTTTTAGTGTCCCTCGAGCTGATAGATAATTGCAGGTGAAACCCTAAATGAAGCAAACAGCTTGTTCTGGAGCAGTTTCAGTACAAACAACTCTGAACTCTTTCATCTGTTATGAAAACCAACTGCCCTGATTTCTTTCCAGCCTTTGCCCCAATTCCCTTTGGAGGGATCTATCTTCCCCTGGAAGTCCCAGCCAACAAATGCCATCGCTCTCCGTTGGTACTGGCTTACGACCAAGCCCATTTTTCTGCCCTGGTATCCATGGAGCAGAAGGAACCCGCAAAAGATCAAGGTAGGTGAAAAGCTGGGACGTGAGCCACCTACGAGCCCCGTGTGCGGGGCTGCACCCAGAGCAGGGTGGGCACAGGGCCGGGGGGGGATTCTCCCCCTCTGCTCCGCTCTCTGAGACCCCCCTGCAGGGCTGGGCCCAGCTCTGGGGCACCAACAGCAGAAGGACACGGACCTGCTCCAGCGGGGCCAGAGGAGGCCACGGAGATGCTGGGGGGGGCTGGAGCCCCCCCTGTGAGGACAGGCTGGGAGAGTTGGGGGGTTCAGCTGGAGGAGAGAAGGCTGCGGGGAGACCTTAGAGCGGCCCCCCAGGGCTGAAAGGGGCTGCGGGAAAGGGGGGGGGGACTTGTCATCAGGGGACAGGGGTTTAACCTGAGAGAGGGGAGATTTAGGTGAGATCTAAGGCAGAAATTCTCCCCTGGGAGGGGGGCGAGGCCCTGGCACGGGCTGCCCCCTCCCTGGAAGGGTTCAAGGCCGCGTTGGACGGGGCTTTGGGCAACCTGGGCTGGGGGAAGGTGGCCCTGCCCGGGGCAGGGGGG